TAATAATAATGATGATAATAATAAAATGATAATTATAATTTTAAGTTAGATAATTACTGCAACAAAAGATATAATTAACTCTATTCTAATAATTTTCATATTAATAATGACAACAGAAATAATAATAATATCATTACTATTGTTATTATAATGAGTATTATTGTCATTATTATTTCTATAATTATCATTATTGTTATTATTATGAAAATGGTTATAATAATGAGAATGACAGTAATAATTTACATAATAATCATTATTGCTGCAATGATGATAATCATGACGATAATGACTATTTTGATGATAATCACAAGAATAATGCCATTAATAATGATAATGATGATAATAATAATCATAGAGTCCATTTATAATGAAATAAAGGCTAAAACTAATAAAATCCCAAAAGTTGAATAAACGGCAAAATCCAGAGTATTACAGTCTTCTGAGAGAAAGGTCGAAAAAAAAAACATTTTTCACTTCTAAATGATAATTATAATGATTTTAACATTTATTCAGGCAATTATGATGATTTTCATTATAATTCCTTTATTATTACCATTAATGATGATTGTGATGATTATGACAATAATAATAATGATAATAATTATAAAATAATAATTATAATGATAATTTTGATAATTACTGCAATAAAAGCTATAATTAACTCTACTCTAATAATTTTCATACTAATAATGACAATAAAAATAAAAATATCATTATTATTGTNCAGCTGAGACATTCGGACGATATAGGTCCAGGTGTCACTACCGATATAACGAGGCAAAAAAAGAGTTGGCAATATCGAGGGACCTTGGAAGACATGTAGCTTGGTCCTTGACGGCACACGTATGCACCTCCAAATACTCTTGTCGAGAAAGTTCATGACCCCTGCTGCCAGTCCAATCCGTCTGCTGACTTCCTGGTCTGACAGCCTAGAGTTATGAAATACACTACCAAGGTATGTAAAGCTCTCTGTGACTTCAATGTCCTCGCCGCAAGCACGTACCAACTGAACAGGTTCTCCTAGTAAGTCCCCAAAGTCCTGGATCTTCGTCTTGGTCCAGGAGACCTCTAGACCCAAGGACTTTGGTTCATCACTAAATGCATCGAGAGCCACCACTAAGAATTCCAAAGACTCACAGAGAATAGCAACATCATCAGCAAAGTCAAAGTCGGTAACTTTGATATTGCCTAGAGTTGCTCCACAATGACTTTGAACAGTAGCTCTGCCCACTATCCAGTCCATGCAAGTGTTGAAGTGTTGGTGCAAGGACACAGCCTTGCCTCACTCCTGAACTAACAGGAAAGAAGCTTGACAGGCCCCCGCCACACTTTACAGCACTTTCAGTACCAGTATACAGACTTGCTATTAGTCCAATAATCCTTGTTGGAATTCCTCTGTCTCAAGATTTAACAGAGTGATTTCCTGATACACCATATCGAACGCCTTCTTGTCCATGTAGGCTGCAAAAAGTCCACACCCAAACCCACGACGGCACTCTACAATGATTCAAAGTACAAGGATACAGTCTATTGTGGACTTACCAGGAGTGAATCCAGGTTGCTCCAGCCTCTAATGCTTCAATAGATATGTCTCTGATATGTCTCAGAAGGATTTGGGAAACAACCTTGCCTGGTACACTGAGCAGTGTGATGTCTTCGTGGTTGCTGCAGTCCCATCGGTCCCCCTTCCCCTTCCAGGTCAGGAGGAACGGTACCAGACTGCCAGGTGGCAGCCAGGACAACACACAACCCCCGTGCCATAGGTTCACCACCAGTCTTTAACAGTTCAACTGGGATGCCACATATACCAGCTGCTTTACCACTCTTCAGCTTGAAGATCGCCCCCCAAACTTTGGTTAGGGAGGGAGCATCCTCACTGATGGGTGGGTCCGGCAATGGAATCTCGGCACTACCCGCATCCAAGTTAACTGTTGGTGGGTCAACCTGGTACAACTGCTCAAAATACTCAGCCCAACGCTCCTGCACCGCAACAGGATCTGAGATGATCTGTCCACCTACTGAGTGAACTGCTGTCACCTGAGAAGAGGGCTTGAAGTTCAGCTTTCTCAGGGCTTGGTATGCAGGACGAAGGTCATTTACTAAGAAATGGCCTTCTACCTCCTCTGCAAGACTCCTAATAAACTGTTCCTTGTCCCTTCTTAACAGTGACCGACTTCTGCGCACCTGGGAACGGTGCAAATCCCGATCCCCTGTCAGACGAGCCACACGACAAACATCTGTGGTATTTAGTGTCTCCTGTGAGATGAAATTTCGTCTTGCTCTTGGGCGTTCACCAATCGTCTCTTGAGCTGCATCAAACTTTTTGTGTTTGAAGGTTCCCACAGAAGTACAGGGTCCATCAGATTGTTGAGTGCTGTGAAACGACCAGACTTCCTCATCGCTGTACCATGTCCAACGATGTGGGTCTGGGCGCTGGTACCAGGAGCCAGAAATCCTCAATTTCTGGGACCAAGCAAAAGGAGGCTATTCTCGCTGCCGGTATCAGTTCCCGAACCATGTGCACCGACAGACATCTCATAGCCAACTCGATCACAGCCAGATACTGCATTGAAGTCACACAGGACAACACGAATATCTCGCCAAGGACACCTGTCTGACACAGATGCTAGTTTGGCGTAGAAAATCTCTTTCACGTCAAGTTTACAAACATCGGTAGGAGCATACACAGCAATAAGAAACATGAAGCCAAATGCTAGCTTCAGTCTCATTACCATTATATGCTCACCGACTAGAATAACCTCTACTACTAAGGGCTGGAGTCTGCTGGAGATGGCCATGGCCACTCCCTGGAGATGGTGACTGTCGTTGCGGCCTGACCGGTAGTAGGTGTAGCCACCTACACTGATCGTGCCACTGCCAGGTCTTCTCACCTCTGAGAAAGCAGCCACCTCCACTCTCAGCCTCCCCAGTTCCGATCATCCTGACACAAAGAACGGACATTCCAAGCCCCCACCCTGACTCCCTGCCTGAGGTTTAGCCTCGGGCAGTCACTCTGGGTGGACGCCACCGACGCCGATGCTGCTCCATATAAAAGGGGGCGGTAGGCTGTGGGACCCATCATCCGCCTACGGGGCTCCCGAAGGCTTTCCCCCGTAAGCTTCACTCCAGGCTGGCGACTGCCAGAACGTCCTGCGCCCCAGCAGTCGCCCTCCCAACGGGATCCACAGCCCGCCTCTCTTGCTGGATGGGAGGAGCAATTCCTCTCCTCCCAACATTTCCAAATATACTTGACACTGATATTATCATTATTATTGCTATTATTATCATTACCATAATTATTGTCATTATTATTATCACTGTTATCATTACAGTCGATTTTATTATCATCATTATTGCTATTATTGTCATTATTATTATTATTTTCATGATTATCATTATTGTTATGGTTATTATTATTATTATCATTATTATTATCATCTTCATTATTGTCATTATCATTATTACTTTCAATATTACCATCGTCATTATCATTATTATTATCATTGTTACCATTATCATCAGTATTATTATGATGATCATCATTATCATCGCTTTGATTAATAACATGATTAATATTCTTGTCATCTTCCTCATCATTCTTTTACTATTTTATTCTCATTATCAACATCATTATTATCATTATCATTGTTACCATTATCATTATTGTTATTATCATTATCATTACTAGTATTATCATTATCATCATCCTTATTGTTATCATTATCATTGTTATTATCATTATGATTAATACAATTGTCATTATCATTATCATTATCATCATCATCATCATCATCATTATTTTATTATTATTGTTATTATTACCATTATCATTATTATAATTGTCATAATCATATTTATCATTAAATTTAATATCATTATCATCATCGTCATCATTGTTTTAATCATTATTGTTATCCTCTGTATAATTTTTATTATCATCAACAACATCGTCATTGTTATTGATATTGTTATTTCCTTAGAATAGTATTATCATTATTGCTATTGTTGTTACGATAATTACCTTCATTAATATCA